ATTTGCTGGACTATTATAAAGCCATTAAAAATAATTACAAATGGCAATATGTCATAAAAAGGAAATGTTTATGGTATAATCCTAGGTGAAAAAAAATATAAAATTGAACGTACTGGGATTTCTAATTAAAAGAAAAAATGGAATACATGGAAATGATGTTTGTATTAGGATGGTATTTTTATCCTTTATTTTCCAAGCTTTCTGTAATATCATGTTTGCTGATGCTTAAAAAACAAACCTCTTATCTTCCCTCAGTTTGCCTCGCTACAATTTAAAATGCAAAATAAGCAAAACCACCTTGTTCTCTTTTTCAAATTCCCTTTTTTAAACTTCCACCCACTTAGTTCACTGAGATCAAATGAGAACAGCCCAAAGAAGGAAGAATGGAATAAACACTCCTATCCCATTCCCAGAAGCCAGTTTCATTTTACTGGCTTTGTCAGAAGCCAAAGCCTAGTCTAACCAAAATTTCAGCAAAGAGAGCCTACACATAGAGCAATTCCACGCTCTGATCATAAACTTTTGTAGGTGAAGGCAAGTCACTGCTGGCAGGAGGCTAGACTTGAAAAGATTACACATTTCTCCTTAAGAAAGGATGGTAAGAAAAGGCGGAACTAGGAAAAAGTCCCTATTTCTGCCTCTTCTCATGGGGTTTTGTGTCCTGTCTCTAACTACAAGAGAATAGAATCCTGAATCATTTCATTTTTCACCACAAAAGATCCTCTTCTGAGTAATAAAAAAATTGTCAGTCACCAACTCTGCCAACTGCAAACCCACTGAGAACCTACTTACTGTCATCAGGAATCCCAGGCTAACTTCCCCAAATCAAAGAAAGGGGCCTTGCCCCCCCCCCCCAAAAAAAAAGGATCACACTTGTATATGTGTGTGGGAAGTGGTAGCACATTTAAGGGCACATAGCTATCAGGTAATTTTAAGGATCTATTAACACTGGTGACAGTAACAGGGAACTACATCTGTTTCTGCTTGAGAAAAATGCTTCCATAATATCCTGTTTCTGATTCTTGGCATGCAGCTTTCATATGTTTCAAGGGTGGCTATTTTCCTTTTTTGAGATGTAAGAGCCAGGAAGGGAGAATACATCACAGGCAACACCAGAGTCTGTGAAACCCATTTAGTTCTCACTACAGTTGCATTTTCTGCTGTTGCTATACCAATACCTTCACAGGGACTCAACTGTCCCCTAGCCCTGACAATAGCACAGGTGGCCTTTCATGGCTGAAGTGACCCAGCTTGGTGCCACTGCAAGGTCTACCAGCAGAGTGGAGCCTTCCACACTCAAGTAAGAACCAGAGGATGAGAGAGAGAATAGAAGGAAACCTGCTGGTTTCTAGACCAAAAAACTAAAAGGGAAAGAAAAAGGACATCATCACAGAAATAAGTGAGCACAAGAAAAAGGAAACATCCACAGATGCCTGGCAGGCTCTGCCGCTAAAACCTAAGCCTTGTAAGAGGTAACTCTTTCCTCAGCACCTCTACCTTTTCAGATAGAGGTTTTTACACAAAGATACAAACTTACAATCATCCCAGAGAACAATGGCTGTTACCTTGAATCTAAGCCAGGGTGGGAGTGAACAGATCTTGATGTTCAAGGATAGTCACCCCAACGCTGTCCTGAAATTGCTTTACTAGTCTCAGGTCCACTGCTGTTAGCAGCTTTAAATACTCATCACAAAACCCGAAGCCCCAATCTTAAGCTGCATCCTTCACTCTCACCAATATGGAAATAGAACTCCCACACTCAGGCATTATTTCTCACTGCTCTAGTTTCCAAGTTTCCTGCAATGTGGCAACATAATTTAAGAATATTATGTTTTAAAAACCATTCCATTAAAAAAAGTCTCACTACAGGGGGATATGTGGGTGTCCCCTAAACTGAAGCCATCTTGAGGAGAAATGAAGGTAAAGAGTCTCTGTTATCATGTATGCATTTGTCCCAGTGCTTAACCTTAACCCAAGTCTTAATCCCCAGCACTCAAGTATGCACAGAGCAATATTTGCTTTCAAAGTATTAAAAAAAAAAAAAAAAAAAAAGTCACTGGGTTTTCTTCCTCTAATCATTCTCATTTTTCTTCTACTGCTTGAGGGAATGCCCCCTATATAAGACATCCCTACTGCCCAAGCAGATAGAAGAGGGAAAATGAATACTGCTTGTCAGCTTCAACTACAAGATCACAAGACAGTTCAGGAGCTCAGTAAAATGCTTCATGCATGGTAACTGCACAACTCTGCCCAGTGAATCTACTGATATTCAGGCCTCCAAGTAGGCATTTCACACCTCTAAGTGGGCATTATAGCTCTGTTGCTGTCCCTTGGTAAATGGGGAACTAGAGGGAAAAGACAAGCACATGTGCTCTCTGACCTTCCTTCTCTGCCTGTAAGAGGTTCTGCTAAAGATATTCTTCCCAATTCACTTCTGAGCCCACAAACAGATATCAGTAGTTACCTGGTTGTCAGAGGAGCTAAGGATATGAAAAAAAGAACACAAGCAAAGATTTAAAACATAAGGCAAGTTTTTATTTAACTGTGGAAAAGCACATAAGTGAAATGATGCTTAATAGCAAAAAAAACTGAAATAAATAGTTAAAGAAGCCAAAAGAATTACTACCTTTGGAGGGCGCATGTGTGTGTGTGTACAGGGGGAAGGCAGCTGTAGGAACTGCTGCCCCAGCAACAGCAAAGGAGGAAATCCCCTGCCAGGAGATGCACCATTACATAAGAGCACACGTTCAAACACCACGAGACGGAGACCTGCCAGGAAATCAGACAAAGTGCAGAGGTCTCTTCATCGGCCAACCTGCATTTGTAACACCTTTTTCTACCTTTCTTCCTCTTCTTCCTATCTGCCCAAATTCTGGGCAAGGAGAAGGAAAGCCTCAGCAAAAAAGTTGAACTCTGCCATTTCAGTGGGTTTGTGCTTAGGGTGGAAACACTGCAGGGCAAAGGTGGGGACAGGCCCTACTCAAAACACCCAGGAACCTGTTCCAGTCTAGTGATAGGTGAGGATTTGTTTCATATGCCACTTCTACTACAGTATCCAAAAAATTGTTCTGTGGAGAGAAGTCCTATCTATCAGGCTTCATCCAGTATTGTCCTCTACTTAACTCATTGGGTAGAAGTTCCTTAAGCAGCAAGTGGCCACTAATGAAAATTAACAACATAAAACCAAAATAAAATTGACTTAAAGACTGTGAACTCCATGAGGGTATTGGCTGGGTTCTGTCTTATTCACTGCAGTCTCCCCAATACCTAACACAGTTCCTGGCATACATTCTGTGTCACATAAACACTTGTGAATACTGAATGAAAGAATGAACAAATGAATGTTGTGCAAACATACCATAAATGTGTACCTTGGAGAAAGAGTTAAGGGTGATCAGGATCTGAGCAAAAGCCTGAAGAAGTAGTGCTTTGAGAAGGTTCTAGAAAGACTCCAGTTTTACTAAAAGGTAAGCAAACTAGAAACTAACAGTTTAATCTTGTAGTGAACACAGCTCCACCAAAAGCTGTCTTTGTGACCTTGGGCGAGTTATTTGTTTGGCTTTGGTCTCAAGTGAAAAAATAGGAATAATAATATCTACCAGAAAAGTTTGTTGTTTATTAAATGAGGTCAAGAAAGTAAAGTCCTTGGCACAAAGCTTGGTACATAGTAAGCCCTGGAGAACTTTCCCCTATTACTGCTATTATTGTTGCTTTATTAAATACCTCCTTTACTGAGGAGAAGGTAAATACACACATTCCCCAACTCTGAAAATTTTTATTTCTGGTTGAATATACAACCAGCTAAAAATGAAAAGCCCAGAAAATTCAGAACTCGATGCCAAGCACATGTCTCTACTAGCCTGCACTAGATGCTGACAATTTGGGTGTGGAATTCCTAAAACAGAAAAGGTGGGGAGGTGGGTGGGTGTGTGTGTGTGTATTTCATACATATATTATAAATCAGTAACGAAAAAGAACAAAAACTTAATTAACCACTGTGAAGAATGAAAAGACACGGTACCCACCTCTGCAGATCGAAGTAATACCTAGGTTTAAATGAACTGGGTAATTTTATTGCATCTCTGTACAAAGCACACACAAGCCTAGTTAGCAAGAGCAACAAAGAGCAGGGAGCAGCCTGCCTCGAAGAGAACATTCTGTGGGAACAGCAGCTTTAGGCCTCTTCCCTCAAACCAGCCAAAGACTTGATTTTGACGCCTCTTTTCCTCCTAGGTTTTACGGTCCCCCAAACCACCTCCCCCTCCTCATCTCTTTACAGGTAACTTTTTCCACTTAAGCAGCCCCACGGCCACAACCCTGCAGAAGGGTCAGACCTACACTAATATTTGGAGTCTCTAAAAAGCAGGAGTAAAACAAAGTCTGCATATATAAACAGGAAACGGTTTCGGTGAGTCTCAGCCCGGATAATAAGAAAAGTTTTTGCGATTAAAGACCAGACGAAACACGGAGGCTGCAGAAAGCTCTGGTGCTCACATACACGACCTGCAGGGTTTCCTCAGGAAATCCACAGTCTCTAAGCCAACCCTGCCCCCGAGCGGGACCCGCAGCTTTAGTCGGCTGGCGGGGAAAATAATAATAGTAATAAAAAGGAAGACCTCTGCTTACCTCCTCTCCAGCGACCCGCCGATTCTGGTCTTTACCCTGAACATCCCAGGCAGCGAGCGCGACCCCGCACACCTGGCGAGGCCAGGGCGGCGCGCCGGGATCCCGGACACTAAGCTCCCGGCCGCAAACCGGGTGTCCGGTCCTCCCCGCAGCCTCGGCACAGACTCCCCGGCCGCCCTCCCGGCACCGCGCCGGTCCGGCCCATACCAGAACAGCGCTCGAGGCCGGGTGACAGCAGGGCTGGCGCAGAGAAGCTGACGCCGGGCGGCCAGCCGGGGCTCCTCAAGGACCCTCCCGGGCCCCTGACAGCCAGCGGGGCGCGCCAGTGACACAATGCCCGGCCCCGCCGGCCCCCAGCCACGGTGACAACTTACCCGCGGAACAGCGAGGCAACCTTCGGGATGGGGGCGCTCGCAGGATCCGCTCCGCCGCCTGCGCGCGCCCGCAGCTCTCTTGGGTCTAGGCGAGGCCCCGCGTGCCCCGCTTGCCCTTGTCTGGCTGGCGCTGGTATTACAGGTGACTATAATAAACATATCTGTGTGCATGAGTGTGTGTGTAGAGAAATAGAAAAGGAGAGACAGAGAGGGGTAGACAAACATGAGGATAACCTATACATATTGGTTAATCTTGATTAGAGAAAAGTAATTTGTGGTCACATAAAATCTGATTTTGAGTGCTAAATTACTCCTTTGTGGACTTGAGCACATTACTAGATTTGGTATGTCTGTTTCCAATTAAAACCCACACTTTATAATGTTTAAGAAAATAAAATGATGTAATACACATGTAAATATTTCAGCCATGTTTAGCACATGACAGTTTCTAAAACCTTGACGCACGCGCCGCCCGCCCGGCCGCACGCCCCGCGGGAGGTGAGCCGGGGTTGGTGGAAGGGCCTTAAAGGGACAGTCCTGTCAACTGTGCGGGAGTGGACTAGGCGATGGTACCGGCCCAGACTGCTGCGTTTGCAGTGTGTCCTCCAATTCTTTTACTATTATTATTATTTAATTTTTTTGATATTATTTGGATGTTTAGATTACTATTATTTGCAAAGAATTGGTTTACACTCAGGTTCACAAAGAGCTTTGAATTGCTCGCCAGACCTATCGCTGAGGCAGGTCATTATCTCCCTATTAAGCAGTACTTCCCAAGCTATGGAGCATAGTCGGCCAACGTCAGAATTGGTCGCAGGTGTGGGGTGGGTGTAAAAATGCAGAATTGGGGTCCCATCTCTAGCCCTTCTGACTTCGAAAGCTAGGGTCAGACTCAGGAATCTCTATTTTAACGAGCATTCCGAAGTGGTTTCTCAGCATGCTAAAAGCACACGATAGTTCTCAAGTTTAAGAAAACTGAAGTTCAAAACGAGGACAGGCAGAATCAGGCTAGAACCTCGCCACATTCCTATTTCGCATCCTGAGCCTTGCCTCCTGTGGTTATTTTCAAGCACATAATGAGCAGTTTGTGCACTATGACTACGTCATTTATTAGTGATCCCACTGCGGTCCTAGGAGGTAAGTCCTCCACTGATTTGTTTACAGGGCTTATTGTGGCCTGTTGATGGTGATGATTGTGACTTTTTTTATCTTTGTGCTCCAGGGCTTTGTACGGTGCCTGTCTGAGAGGTGTTCAATAAATCTTGAGGCGCTCCCACTTGAGAATCCGCCAGAGTCTGCGCTTGGACCCAGAGACTTCACTCAGCCTTTGCTGCAGCTTGCAGTCAACCATCCCAGTTTACCTAGGTCTAAGGGAGTTGCAGGGACTGGGACTTCCAGTCCTAAAACTAGGACAGTCCTGGGCAAATTGAGATGAGTTGGTCACTCCTGGAGTATGGGTGAGAGGGCATGGTATGCCTTCTCCCTCTCCCAGGAATCTAACTAGGAGCTAATGCCTGTACCACTTGGAGGGCAAGAAAGAGGAGCTTGGCTCCCTGAAAATAAGGGGCAGAAAAAGTTCAGAATTAGTATATTGTGTCTCTGTTGCTCTTATTATTACTTATAACAACAGGAATGACAGCCACTACTTATTGAGCATCTACTGTGTGCCAGATACTGGGTAAAGACTTTTATACATGTAACCGTTGTCAAGCGAATTTGAAAAGAATCTGGAGGCTTTGGCTAGAAATAATTGATTTATTTCTTAAAAGATTTATTCAAGGGTCTTACAGTTTGTAAACCGGTAACACAACTAGGCCATACCCAGTGTTTCGAAGAAGAAAGAAAAGCTAAAAGTTCTTACGGTCAAAAGTACATTGTTGAGAAGAATCAATTATGCATTCTCAGCCTCTGGTTTGGTCCAATATGGTAATCCTCTAGATGATTGGTGGTCTGGATAATGGATATCAGGGGATCTAGATACATGATCATTCTTTCCTTCGTCCTTCAGTGGGTATTCAGAGGGTTATCTGGAGGGTTGGTGTATATCCAGACATTAATGCAGGACTGGAAAGTTCAAAAGTTTAGGTTCCCAGGCTAGTTAAAACAAGAATAAAATTATTTCGAAGAATAATTCATCCTACTTGATTTTAGTAATTTAGCAGCTTGACTATAGTGACTCCGTTTTATTTCTTCCCTCTGTTCTTTACCACTAATTTTGACAAAATCCTCCAAGTATTATTAACACTATTTTACATATGAAGAAACAGACTCAGATTTTTATAACATGAAAAACTATTCAGGAAGTATGTTGTTGCAAACTAGAATTCATTCTTCTTTGTTCCAAAAGTCACTTTTTCAAATAAGTCATATAGCCCCTCCTACCCCAAATTGTCATTACATATCTCTTGATCTTTTAAAAAATGCTTTCTTGCACACCAGCTCATTTTAGGTGCACAACATCCCCATAAAATGAGACATTATTATCCCCCAGTTTTACCTATAAGGAAGTTGAAGCACCGAGCAGATGACTGGCTTGTCTGACCTGAGACAGGAGTCAGCATGGGGTTTCTTGTTTTGATTCAAGATTGGACAACCTTCAGATCCCCGAGAAGTAAACAAGTAAACCTAGACCCCAGTGGAAGTGGAAGCATTCAAGCCAAGTCACCACAGAAAGTCAGAGTCCAAGATGGGTGGACTGGCAGGGCTGGGCCAACACAAGTGAAGGGTGGTTCCACTCTTGGGAAGGGAGATCCTGAGCTCAGGTGGTTGTGCGAATATGTGGCATGAGCCAGCGCCTGGGGCACCCCTCATCTGAGCCTGGTGGCCCAGTCCCTGTTGGCCACTGGTCTGAGGGGGCTTTGCAGAGGTCAGAGCTCAGAGCAGAGCTGCTCAGAGCAACCAATATATTCCCTGCACAGCCCAGTCCTGTGCCCAGCCCAGGAAATGTACACCTGAGGCAATGTGCACCTGAGGCTGCCCAGTGAGCAGGTGTGTGTAAGGGATTGATCCCTCCTCCTTTTTCTGAAGCATTGGCAAGTCTTTGACAACATTTTTATCTCTGACACAGACCAAGTAAGCTGGGTAAAAGTATTAGCCCCATTTTGCACTCAAGGAAAAACCAAGTCTAGCTGCTGTGTCTTCATAACTGCCCAGGCCCCACCTCCAGCCTGATTACCTGCTTCTGCTCCCTGCCCTTTGCTCAAGGAGGCAGCCAGAAGAGAAGGAAGGTACTTGGGGGCAGCTATGGCCTGAGGCTTTTCCAAACATAACCAGCCCACAAACCCCACCCAAACTGCTCCCAGTCATTTGACACCAAATTCCCTTGGTGACTTTCTTCCTCAAGGCTACTCTGACGGTTCATTTTCATGTGACTTAATAGTGAGAAGGCAGCGTTGTGTGATTGGCTCTGCTAGCTCTGGGCTGCAGGTAGCTGGAGGAATGGAATGACCCTCTCCCTCAGTCTGTCCAGAGAGGCAGAGGCAGGGCCATGGAGCTTTGGCAGCCGCTGCCTATTTACTAAGTCCGTCATACTGTCTGCTAACACTGTGCTAATGGCTTGACATACATGAGCTCACTTAATCCTTATAGTAAACTATAAAATAGGTATTAATACTATTGCCTGCATTTTACAGCTGAGGAAACTGCAGTACAGAGAGGTTAAAGATAAGGCCAAGGCCACAGTTACTAAGTAGTAGGGCCGGGCATGCCTACCTTTTAGGGAATAAAACTCAATTTGCATTTGCAATATTGTGATTTATAAGAAATACAAATTTCATCTTCATCTCTCTCTATATATATCTCCAGTATATATTTCATCTTCACCCATAATTCCTGGCTCATAACTCCCAAAATCCTTGATATTTCCCATGTTGAGAGTGATAAAGGTGTTTTCGTGATTGGAGGGTTGAAACTTTCAGTCCTACCACTGACCTCCTGGAAGGAGAGAGGGGTTGGAGGTTGAATCAACCACCAAAGGCCAATGATATAATCAATTACTCCCAGGAAAGAGGGCCTCTATAATAAAAACCCAAGAGGACTGGGTTCAGAGGTGGAGATTTGGGGAGGGTGGTGTGCCTGGAGAGGGCAAGGAAGCTCTGAGCTCCTTTCTCCATACCTTGCCCTACGCATCTCTTCCATCTGGCTGTTTCTTTGTTATATCCTTTTACAATAAACCAGTGATGTGGTAAGTAACATGTTTCTATGAGTTCTGTGAACTGTTCTAGCAAGTCAATCGAACCTCTGATTTATAGCCAGTCTGTCAGGAGCATTCTGTGTTGGAGGGGGGTCATTGGAACCTCCATTCTGTAGTCAGTTGGTCAGAAGCACAAAAAGCTTGGGCTTGCAGCTGGCTGGCACCTGATGTGCGTGCACGTTGGAGTGGGGGTGGCAGTCTTGCCTGTGAAATCTGATGCTATCTCCAGGTAGATGGTATCAGAATTGAGTTGAATTCTCAGACATCCTACCGATGTCTGAGAATGTTTCATTGGTGTGGGGGACATACCTGCCATGGTAGAATTGGGTCCAGGAACCCAATTTATCACTACAAAATAGAAAAGTAATTTTTAAAGGGGGACCAGAGCCAGTTACCTGCATACTAGAAACTGCTACTACCTACTGTCTCTCAAGAACCAATTGTAAAATTTCCAGGATTTTTGTGAGCCAGTTATTAAACACAGCCTTTATTAAAAATTAAATTATATGTAAAATTAAATTGTAATTTTTTAAGTAATAAATACCCCAAACTTATCACTTCCCAATTATTTTACTACATTGTATTCTTATCTACGCTTTTAAGTTTATTTGCATCTATGATATATGTATGGTGGAAATATATAATATTGTGCTACTTAGCATTTCTCCCAACTCCACATTAAATGACATCTCATTGATAACTTGAAATCAGACATGGTAGAAATATTTACACCATGGAAATTAGCAAACGCTACAAGTCAGCCCGCCACTCCAAGAACAGGTTGTTAAACATTTATCAGCATGTGTGTCTGCAGAAGCCGCCATGTAGTTGTGGTGGCCCAGTGCTAGATAAACTCACCAGTGAAGCCAGTAGAGTAAATTAAGGGTAGGGAGCACATGGGGTACCCCTAGGAGACAGACCTCAGAGATTCTCCAT